CGAAGGAAGGAAGGCAGGCAGGCAGGCAGGCAGGCAAAGGGTGCTTGCATCCAGGCAGAGTAGGACTATGTGCAATCCCCAATCCCCTTCAACTATACACCCCCACAGAAGTCATGACCCACAGTTTGAGAACTTCTAATGGAGAATATGAACACAGAAACCATTCAGGTTTCAAAATAACAACTGATTATAAGAAAAGAACAAATACATTTATCTTCATCTAAAAACAGAAGTACTCTGTAAGGATTAACATTTACGTACTTCTCTGACACTGCAAAAACATGAGTAAGAAAATTTGTCAGGTAATCAGAAGCCATGATTTTACTTTTGGCTCAAGGAAACAATATTTTCCATGAGGAGAACTGGGATAATTCACATTTAGAATGAGAAGGAAGAATAATTGCTCATGGAGTTTCTAATCATCAGGGTTTAAAATTATTTTTTCTTTCCTTCCCAAAGTTACCTTATTATGATTTTGTTAGTCAATTTGCATAATTTAGTTTAAGGATATTATAACACCTTGGGTTTAAGGAAATGGAATGCAAGTTGCCTCGAGGGACAAGTTAAATACATACTATTTTTCTTTATGCGTACCTTGGCCTGACTCAAGAACATATTCACTTGACATAAAATAGATTGCTGTTCAGTATATGTGATCATCTGGTTCATAAATTGTATTGGTCAATATGATAGTAAACCAAGAAACATAGGAACTAACATTATTCTATAGACTTGTTTTTTATGAAGACAAATGTTTATTCATCTCTAATCTGAAAGGTGATATCTCTTAATCTAGCAAGAAATCTAGTTTGTTCTAGCAAGCGGGTTAGCTGAGGGACAGCCTCTCCCTGATTACATCAGCCCATCCCATCAGATCTAGCAGGGAAGGTATGCTACAGTTTCCACTGGCCAGGGACTTGCATTTGGTGGGTCCCAGGAGATGGGCCTTCTCTGCTGTGGCTCCCTCCTTGTGGAACATTCTCCCTCCTGAAGTAAGGCTTGCCCCTTCCCTTGCTGTCTTTTAGGGAGTCCCTCAAGACCTGGTTATGTCATCAGGTCTGGGAGGCTTTGGGAACCAGAGACATTCTTAGATGGCTCCGCTGTAATTGATATTCTGCTCTCTCCACGGGGTTTGTATATTTTAAACTTTTTGATAATATTTCCATTTTAATAATTACTTTTTATCTTTTTATAAGGATTGTTTTTTATCTATTTGTTGTTTTCTTAATTGTTGTATGCCACCTGGAGTCGCTTTGTATAAGATGGGTGGCTATATAGATGTGACAGGTAGATAGATAGATAGATAGATAGATAGATAGATAGATAGATAGATAGATAGATAG